CGGCTGGGCCCGTGAGCCATGGCTGCTGAGCCTGCGCTCTGCAACGGGAGAGGCCACGACAGTGAGAGGCCCGCGTATCTCAAAAAAAACAAAAAAACCAAAAAAACCCAGGGGCTTGGTGGATAAAACCAGTTGGGAATATCCCAAGAGAAAACGAAAAAAATATTCAGTGCACTTGAGACTTACTATGTTATTTAGATAAAAGTTCCTGAGATCTTAACCAGATAAAACAGTTAAGTCAAAGATAAACAATGGGAAATTTATGAATAATCTATCACACAGTAAGATTTTATTAAAAATTGTTCATCAAAAGCAGAAAAGAGACACATAAAACACCTTCTCAGAAGAGAAGTTCTGCTACACAAACTATAAGCACAAACAGTATCACAGGGTCAACATTTAACCTGCATAAGAAAGTGCTTTTTAAAAAGCGCTTGTGCACAATGGCTGTGATGGCTGCTTTTAATTATAAAGGAATTTTACCTTCATTAGAGCAGGCCCAGTGAGGTCTCCACTTATAATGGTTATTTATTACAAGGAATTCCAAGTTTTCCTAAAGACAAAACCAGCAATCTAGTGTTGCCACTAATTTAAATTAATGAGTTTATTGACCAGAGCAGCGTTTCCCAAAGTGTGTTCCGTGAGACTGCATTTCCATGAAGAAAAGGGTTCCAGTCCACATCAGGACAGGAGAACCTCCGAGAGGGTCCAAAGCAAAGGGGCCTGATGCACTTGGTTTAACCCACTTTCCCAACTGACCCTAGATCCTTTTTTTTTTTTTTTTTTTCCTTTCAAGGAAAGTCTATGAACATTTGACCTGATTAGTGCTCCATGGTACACCGACCTGGGAAATCCCACTTATGGGGTCTGAAACCCTGGACTATACCATCCACCCACTTTCCTTCCTCATGGGAAACAGACAGGATTAGCAGATTCTATTGCCTATTGGCAATGTACAGAAGGATCTGTGTGCCCCTTCCCTTACCTGTCACAAGAGGCAAGGAAAGTCCCAGTTTAAAGTCTCCTATGTTCAGAAGTTATGTCTGCTTGCTCTTGATATCTCTTTAAAAGAATAAGGAGAGTGCTGCTTTCCAGGGCTGAATGAATAAATAGGAGAGCTGTGGCCGGATTAGCACAGCCCCTGAAATTGTTGTGAAATCCCTCCCACCCCATCCTTGGAAGGGCAGCCTGCAGGTCCGTAAAGACAAGATGAGAGATGGCACTGTGGTCACCCGCCCCAGTCACCGGCGGCAAAATGCCAGTTCTAAAACCCAGGGCCTCCTTCCCACAGGGGTGGAAGCAGAGCAGGTCAATCTGGGTGCTCCCTGGTGCTGCCTTTGATTGGAAATACAAGGCTCATGAAACCCCTTTCACCAGTCCCATCTCTGGGAGCCTTGACATTTATCTCACTGTGATCAAAAGGAACCCAAGTAGGAGGAGGGAGCCCTCCCTTTGCCTGGCAGTAATGCACATGGGCTCCAAGAAATGCCATAATAAAGGCAGGCGTGACTCTCAAGAACAAGATAAAAACTTTAGCCCAGTCCTGCAACCACCAGCACCCCACAGAGAACCAACGTCTGATGCGATGGCGACTTCTCAGCCATTCATAATAAGAAGCTTCTCCAAATCAACCTGGGGGATTGGTGGGGTGTGTCACAGCTGGATCATCCACTCACCCAAAGTAAACTTACTCCATAAGGAATTTCTTCAGAGCAAATCAAATCCACTTGAAAGCCTTAAGAAAATGCTAAACCCAAAACAACTTTATAAATCCTGAAATTACATGGCTCAGTGAAGCACTCTGAATTTCAAGACAGACTGTGCCCTTCAAGCCTCTGGTATACATACTTTTCATATTCATTTTAACCACATCAAGAAATTCCCTAAGAGATTCCATTTTCTCGGCAAGGGAGGTTACAAAAGAGAATGTGAAATGGACTCATTTTCTCAAGCAAAATGAAACACTTTTATGTTTTATTCATGCAAAGTGTAAACTCCTTTCCTTTGCAGCATTACAAATTGAATTTGCTCTTGTAAATTGCTGTAAGAAAAAAAAAAGGAATCAAGAGCAAAAGAAAGTATTAAAAGAAAAAGAAGCAGGAATACAAAGGCCTTCTTTTAGAGGATGAAAACTCAGGGGTCCAGTGGGAGAAATACAACCTTTCACTGACAAACATACGTTTTTATTTACTGTTTCTAAAAGCAATCTAGGTCAAGGGCCCCCAACCACTACATGAGCTTTCTGAGGTCCTGACAGCTGATGCAGAACCCTCAGCGTATTCTAAATTACACTTATCTGCTAACATTGAGTAAGAATAAGAAATGGTTTAAAAAACATGAGTGCGCTTCCCTGGTGGCGCAGTGGTTGAGAGTCCGCTTGCC